TCATAAGCTAGCAGAGAATCGTTGCCCTGGGTCCAGCTCTCTTCCTGGACGTATTGGTGCTGCAGCACCTTTCCACCCCTGTCCCCACCACACCACCTCCTCTCCTGATATGTTTCCCAGTGGCATCAGAGAGTTATTGCTTCCAGCACAGCTTTTACTCCTTCTTTTTCCACCCTGATCCTGGCCGACCGCAGGGCTGGAGGGATGAAGGGGGGAAAAAGAGGTTGGGGTTTTCTTTCCTCTTTTTGTATTTCATTGACTACTTCAATCTGGTCCAGAGCCTCTGGGCAGAAGGGTCGTTCTCCAGTTCTGCTGCAACCTGCTGAACAATCTTAGACACATCCCCTCCCTGCTCTTAGTTTTCCCTTCTGCTTTTTCAGGACCTGCTATTGTCTGTCACAAATTCCCCCAGAGCCCCAACATGCTGGTTATTCTTCAAGGATAAAATCAGTAACAATAAACAGATAATTTATTGTGGATCTTCGTCTGAGACAAAACATCATTATTTCCATCCAATTAATAGTGGCTTTTAGTAGCATCAATGAAAAACTAGACAAAACCTGGCTTCCACCCAGCCCCCTTCCTCTGCCTGTGTGACATTGCCTGCGTGAGGCCAGGACTTCAGGGAGAGGTGGTATCTTTAATTTGATCAACGTATATCTAGTTGGAACAAAACAGATCAGATTTTGTAGGTTTGCCCAAAGATTACCTTCTTCTTTTTTTTTTTTTTATTTCTTTTTCTTTAACAGGAAGATCAGGAAGAAAGTTTTGCTGCTGTTGCTACTGCTGTTGTTTTCTGCAGCCCAGGAGAAGTCCTGGGATGCCAGGGGAAGTGGGAACATGCCAATGGGAGTATTTCTCTCAACTCCTCTCCGCAGAGTTTTCTCGCATGCGTTGTTTCCTGAGTCACGGGGATTTGTGCTGGGAACGCTCAGTTATCTGGAAGCTGAAACAGCCCTTACTGCTGACCCAAATGCTGATGTCCAGGGAGCAGCACCTCAGCCCTGCCACAGCCCCCGGGGTGGGGGCCAGGGCAGAGGACTCCCATAATGAGTTGTAAGGCGCTGCAGGGCTCTCCAAAAAGCCCCCGTCAGCATCAGTCTCAGCCCCTCGCTGCCACCTAGCCCCTGGCAGTGAGCAGGCTCTTTCTCCATGGGCATTTGTCTCTTCCAGGCTGGGAAAACAGAGGGATTCCTCCAGCACAGAGGATGTGGCTGGGGAGGGCTATGCCCCCCTAGATCCCCATCCCCATGGCATCCCCCCCAGCCAGTGCCACCAGGGTGCCAATCAGCCTTTCCCCAAATCCCTCCTCCCCCAGATGTCTGTGATGGCCTCTGCGTGTGGCAGGAGCTGGAGGGAGGCGTGAGCCCTGCAAGGGTGCCTTCTCCTCGGCCTCCTGCCCACCCTGCCCTTCCTCGCCCTGAGGCTACTCGGGTGTCCTTGCTCACCCTCCCCTTTGGCTCCTGCTCGTTTGGCCTGGATGCTGCTTTAATTTTAGCAATTCCTTGGAAAGAGTCATTTTCCATAACTCAGCTCGCAGCGCGGCACTCTCTGCCTGCCAGCTCTGCCTTCTCACACGTGTTGCTGGCGTGCCCCAGCAGCGCACGCCTGCACCTGCCCGGCCAGGCCCGCCTGTCCCAGCCTTTTGCACACCAAAAGCCTCACACCCGGCTCCCGTCCCCTCCTTGGCACGTCTTATCCTGGCACTCCCCAATTCCGCCGTGCCAAGGATGGAGCGGGCGCCCTGGCCCGGCTGCACGGCCACCCCTGTGGCTTCTGCCTGGTCGGGAGTCGTTGTGCACAGTGCAAGAGGACCTCTGTCCCCTTTGCCCTGCAGACACCCCCCCACACGCGTGTGACAGCTTCCCCTGCGATGGGAAACCGGGTGGCCCCACACACCAGGGGGTACCCCAATGCCGTGGGGGTGCGATGGAGGGGCAGGGTGGGCATCAGCAGGTTGCAACCGAGCAGGAAAGGTGGGCGCACGTGTGGGTGGGCTGCCTCGCTTGTGCAAGAGAGTGTGGGAGCGGCGCTGCGTGTGTCAGGCGTTCAGTTGTGCAGTGTGAGTGTGTGTGTGTGTGTGAGAGAGAGAGAGAGGTGAGCGCGGCGCTCTCATTTCAGTCTGCATCTGCCTGTGGTGCTTTTGTTGCGTGCTCCAGGGGAGCGCTTGTGCAAGGGGGTGCAGCACTCTCAAGCGAGTGTGTGTGCGTGTGTGAGGGTGTGCGTGGAGGCGTGCGTGGAAACGTTGGCGCAGCGCCTTGATTTGGGTCTGCGTTTCTTGATGCGGGGGTGTGGGGGGCGAGCG